AGCTATTAGTGCTGCAGGGGGCGAGAGCAGCGGTGGCCCGTGGCCCCCTTCATGAGCCTATATCCTCTCCAGCAGGTGGGATAGGAGCTCCAGGCTCCAGTTGCATCGCTGGGTCCCCTGCTAGTCTGGATCCCCAGAACTTTCATATCCAGGACAGCCTATACATGGAACAAGGCCGTGGGTCTTGTTCTGGGGACAGGATCCTTGGTCTCGTAGTTGGTCTGGATCACTTTGTGGGTCTCGAGAGTAGGGCATAATAGCCTGAGGAGGTGGCCTGGTGCTGGCAGGGCAGGATCCATCTCTGCCCGTAGTCTGCCCTGTGCTGGAGCATGAGGGCAGGGGTGAGGCAGACTGGGTCCTAGCAATGGTGAATGTTTTCCTTGGAAGTGGAGATTTTCCCCAGAAGGAGGGAACTCGGGCACCCAGGAACAGGAATCTCATGGGTGTGAGCTTGAGGGGACCTCTCCCATCTTCCCTCAGATTGGGGTTATCTGTAGTTAGCCGGCTTTCCTTCTGGAGCTGCACACAGAGCTAGTGAGCTGGCAGTGTGCTCCTGGGGCAGCATCAGGGTTGGGGCCAAGAGCTGGCAGTAGAAATGGGAGATGGTGGCTATGGGGGTCACCTGTCCTACCCCTGGACTCTGGCCCTCCAACCTCTGTCTGTTGGCTCCCATCCTTGGCCCCCAACAGCAGTGTCCCCTCTTAGGCCCTGCCTTGATCGTAGGGAGGAAAGATCCATCTGCATGGCCAAGGTGAGCGAGGCCAGAGTGGTCTTACAGGGGGAAGGTGGCCTGTGGCCTCCAAGGGGCTTCAGCCAAGGGAGGGGGGTTTGCTGTCACAGGTCAGGGTAGTGTGGTACCACTGAGAGGCCCAGAGCGACGGGGACCCGTGAACAGGTAAGCAACCTGCTCAACTCAGATGACTGACTCCCTGCTAGCAGCCCTGGGATTTGGGATGAGGGTGCAACTCACATGAGTCCCCACATCCTGCAAGAGGGCTCAAGCCTTCCCAGTGGGATGGATAGAGGGAGATGTGGTCTGTGTTAGGGACTGTTTCCATAGCTGTGGGAAAGAGGCCTAGAGTTGCCATCTGGATTTAAACATTGGACTCAGGTGGGAAGAACCCTCCCCTCCCTCAATATCCTCAGCCCCCTTTCCTGAAGCCCAGAAAGCTGGTGAGCATCTCCTTTCCTTTATAATCGCACAGCTGAACATGTGGGTCCCTCATCCACACCCCATTCCACTACACACGCACAGAGCCGTACCCCACGGCCATCATCACACAAGCATCATTCCTCTCCGTCCCTCCCAAGCATTCATACCACACACTGTGGCCACAGGCAAGGCTGGGACATCCACTCCTTCCCCCACCCACCCGAGCCCAGGAGAGGAGTTAAATATACTCACTCCAACGGGCAGCTATAAAAAGCCAATGCCGCCTCCAGCTTTGCGTATTGCAAGAGGACCTCAGGCATGCAGCAAGAGAGATTGTGCAGGGTAGCCAAGTGGCCCGAGAGAGGCTCCCACAAAAGGATAAGCCAGGGCAGACATGACAGGGCCCTGCTGGTGACCTATCGAGATCACACGGCTCATGGGTGCCTGGGTTTATGAGGTACATTATGGGCAGTGACCAGGAGCATAGGCCAGGGTCTGGGCCCAGCTCTGCCATTTATTATCAGTGTGACCGTCAGGTGAACTCACCTGTGCTTCAGCTTCCTTCTTACCAAGTGGGCTTGAGGAGGAATATCGTGTGATGCTGTAGAAGTGGTCACTTATGAACACAACAATGTAATGACATGACTATACAATGAAAACTTCCTATGTGTAAGCGTGCACGTGCATATGCATGTATGTGCACATACATAAATTTGTATGTGCAGTCAGTACGTGTACTTGTGTACTTGTCTGTACAAGTAGTGTCTGTGCTTATACCTTTTTTTTTTTTTTTTTTTTTAATTTTGCTATAGGACACATGTGCTTGCCAGGGAGAGAGACAGACAGAGCAAAAATGAGAAAGCACCCCACAGCGGGGATGGCTAGGTGGCAGTCCCTTCTCTATTCTCCTCTCAGGATTTCAGACATGGATGCACACACACCTAATGTGTTTTTCAAGCCACCAGGTCTGGAACTTGAACAGCACAATTGGCCATGTAGGATCCAGCTGCCTTAAGCACCATGCCATTGGCTGGCCGCTTATATTCAATTAAGAGACCCATCTTGTGTCTCTGTGATCTCCTAGTCCCGTGAGGAAGGCAGGTGCTTCAACAGGCATCAATAGGGTATATGGGAGTACCTCTTCATGGGACCTAACGGCTTAAGCATGGTGGTGGTATATGTGTTTGTGTGTGTGGGGGGGGGCTGTTGACTTCTTGGAGGTGGTGATTCCAGAACTGAATCTTGAGAAGTTATTTCAGCCTGGAATAGAAGTAGGAACCAGCACTAGGTGCTCTAAACCTTGGCTTTGCCACATGGTACCATCGAGTGCTACAGGTGCCCTGGCAGCTAGATCTATCCCTATTCCACAGTCAGGAGACGTCCTAATTGAAACAGACTTGCCCAGGCCATGGGGCCTGGACCTGGACCTGCCCACCACAGTGACAAGGGAACCAGTGGTTGAGCCTCAACCCAAATGATGTCCCAGGGGCACCCTGGGTCTCTAAAATGCCCTTGACCGAATCAGCCCAGTAGTTAGTCCCTTGCAGTCTTCTCTGCAGCTTCCTGCACTGTGGTCTGCACTCCATGCACCTGGCAGAATGCCCTAGTCTTGTTCATCATGGGTTAGTTGCCATCATCACTACCTTCCTCCCCAGGTTTCTATCTTGGGGGGGACACAACAGAACCTCAGGCTGGGCTTGTGAAGGACTGTGCAGGTCTTAAGGCCAACAGCTGGGGGAAGATGCTGGCTGTTGGGAAACAGGTGTCCTTGGAGACAGGGCAACCAGAGGGAGAGAGATGGCTAAGCTAGGGGAGCACAGACATGCAGCAACCAGCATAGACCAGGTCATTGACCATGGAGTTGGGACTCTGGGGGGAACCCTGGTCAGCAGATCCTGCCGAAGCCCAAGAGAGCAGCCAACTGGGCATTAGCAAGTGTGTTGGTTTTAGACTGGGAGTCCTTGAGCAAGAGAGGGCCATATTGGGGAGAGAGGTGCTGAGGGGAGGGAGGAAGGGAAATGGGAGGAGAGTAAAAGCCAATGCTGGCCATAGTTTGAGTTGCGTGAGTCAGGACAGAGGGGAGACTGATGGTAATGACAATTCTTATTACTGTACCTGCGGTAGCATACGCATCACATAGTGCTGTGTGCAAAGTCCTCTGAGCTTTGCAGGTGTTGGCCCTTTGACTCCACAATCCTAGAAAGTAGGTCATTTGTCCTCATTCACAGGAAGAGATACTGAGGCACAGGGAGGTGGTAACATGCCCACAGTCACATGAGGGAATGAATGCGGGGCTGGGGGCAGCCTGGCTCCAGGAACTGAGAGAGGAAAAGAGCTGAAGGGAAGGGAAGGGGCACAGGCAGTGGGCAAGGAGGACCGGGTCTGCTGGGGACGGGGCACATGGGTGGGTTGTAGGGATGACATACCGAGCCCCTATTCACTCAGCATTCTCTGGAGGGGGCGGAGACACCCAGACAGACATGCCAGAGCCTGGGGTAGGCTGTTGCCATAGCAACACCTGGCTCGAGCTCTTTGAGCACCCTGCCCTCCTTGGAGATGGTGAAGGGAGATGCTTCCTCCTGCCTCGTTTCCCTGAATCTGCGGGGAGGCAATGGGTAGCTGCCTCTCCCCACCCCCCATGACTTATTAATGATAATTGGACCCAATTAAACATTTATTAGATTCAGACAGCTGCGGCCTCTGATGGGCCTGCCCCGCCCTTGATGTGCTGTCCCTGGTGGGGGTCCTAAGCTGGAGTCCCTGTGTAGGCTCCCACCTGGGTGCAGGGTGGGGCAGTGGTAGGATCATTGTGTAGGCTCCCACCTGCCCCTTGCCCCTTGCCCCAGTGTGGTGCTCAGGAGGGGCTGCTGCAGAGGCTGTCCCTAATGACTCTGGGTCCATGTGCCTTCATTTGTACACTTTTCTGGCCATCTCCAGGGTCTGTTGTAGAGGGTTAGTGACAAGATGTATGCCAGGCATTAGGTTCCTTTCAGTCTGCGGCATGAACTAAACCTTTAAAAGAGTAAAATGACAAGCACAGTTCCTGTGTTCGGCTTCCCCAAAGTCACTGTGACAAGTTAGACTAAGGCTGGGCAGACATGGGAGGCAGAGAAGGCCAGCAGCCTCAGGGAAAGCCCCCTCAGGAGAGCTGCAGAGGGGTGTAGAACTCGGGCAGGCTGGCTGTGGGAGCTGTGAAGGTGAAGACGGGAAGGGGCCAGAGAAGACTGAGTTTGGGGAGAAGAGAAGAGACAGCAGGCAGGCACTCTTGGAGTGTCCATCTGGAGCAGCTCCCAGAAGGGGTCCCCTACAACTTGAGCTTTATGGGATCAGCTCCAATGCTGATGTGGAGGTGCAGAACTGAGCACTGATTGCTTGTGACTGAGTTGGCCTGGGGGAGCCCATCCTGTCATGTGTCAAGGGGTCCACTGAGGTGGGTTTGGAGTAAAGGCCCAGAGGCTTTTCGGTGGGAGAGGCTTCTCGTCGGTGGGGCTCTGGGGGGAGGGGCAGCAAGCTAAGTGCACAGGCAGTGTTGGGCACACACGTGGCCATGTGTAAGCATGGACGTATGTGGATGTGTCTGGGGGAGCTTTAGTAAAAGAAGGTGTGTGTTGCAAGGTCCTCGGGTGTGTGGATGTTGGAGGCTCCCACAAAAGGATAAGCCAGGGCAGACATGACAGGGCCCTGCTGGTGACCTATCGAGATCACACGGCTCATGGGTGCCTGGGTTTATGAGGTACATTATGGGCAGTGACCAGGAGCATAGGCCAGGGTCTGGGCCCAGCTCTGCCATTTATTATCAGTGTGACCGTCAGGTGAACTCACCTGTGCTTCAGCTTCCTTCTTACCAAGTGGGCTTGAGGAGGAATATCGTGTGATGCTGTAGAAGTGGTCACTTATGAACACAACAATGTAATGACATGACTATACAATGAAAACTTCCTATGTGTAAGCGTGCACGTGCATATGCATGTATGTGCACATACATAAATTTGTATGTGCAGTCAGTACGTGTACTTGTGTACTTGTCTGTACAAGTAGTGTCTGTGCTTATACTTTTTTAATTTTGCTATAGGACACATGTGCTTGCCAGGGAGAGAGACAGACAGAGCAAAAATGAGAAAGCACCCCACAGCGGGGATGGCTAGGTGGCAGTCCCTTCTCTATTCTCCTCTCAGGATTTCAGACATGGATGCACACACACCTAATGTGTTTTTCAAGCCACCAGGTCTGGAACTTGAACAGCACAATTGGCCATGTAGGATCCAGCTGCCTTAAGCACCATGCCATTGGCTGGCCGCTTATATTCAATTAAGAGACCCATCTTGTGTCTCTGTGATCTCCTAGTCCCGTGAGGAAGGCAGGTGCTTCAACAGGCATCAATAGGGTATATGGGAGTACCTCTTCATGGGACCTAACGGCTTAAGCATGGTGGTGGTATATGTGTTTGTGTGTGTGTGGGGGGGGGCTGTTGACTTCTTGGAGGTGGTGATTCCAGAACTGAATCTTGAGAAGTTATTTCAGCCTGGAATAGAAGTAGGAACCAGCACTAGGTGCTCTAAACCTTGGCTTTGCCACATGGTACCATCGAGTGCTACAGGTGCCCTGGCAGCTAGATCTATCCCTATTCCACAGTCAGGAGACGTCCTAATTGAAACAGACTTGCCAAGGCCATGGGGCCTGGACCTGGACCTGCCCACCACAGTGACAAGGGAACCAGTGGTTGAGCCTCAACCCAAATGATGTCCCAGGGGCACCCTGGGTCTCTAAAATGCCCTTGACCGAATCAGCCCAGTAGTTAGTCCCTTGCAGTCTTCTCTGCAGCTTCCTGCACTGTGGTCTGCACTCCATGCACCTGGCAGAATGCCCTAGTCTTGTTCATCATGGGTTAGTTGCCATCATCACTACCTTCCTCCCCAGGTTTCTATCTTGGGGGGGACACAACAGAACCTCAGGCTGGGCTTGTGAAGGACTGTGCAGGTCTTAAGGCCAACAGCTGGGGGAAGATGCTGGCTGTTGGGAAACAGGTGTCCTTGGAGACAGGGCAACCAGAGGGAGAGAGATGGCTAAGCTAGGGGAGCACAGACATGCAGCAACCAGCATAGACCAGGTCATTGACCATGGAGTTGGGACTCTGGGGGGAACCCTGGTCAGCAGATCCTGCCGAAGCCCAAGAGAGCAGCCAACTGGGCATTAGCAAGTGTGTTGGTTTTAGACTGGGAGTCCTTGAGCAAGAGAGGGCCATATTGGGGAGAGAGGTGCTGAGGGGAGGGAGGAAGGGAAATGGGAGGAGAGTAAAAGCCAATGCTGGCCATAGTTTGAGTTGCGTGAGTCAGGACAGAGGGGAGACTGATGGTAATGACAATTCTTATTACTGTACCTGCGGTAGCATACGCATCACATAGTGCTGTGTGCAAAGTCCTCTGAGCTTTGCAGGTGTTGGCCCTTTGACTCCACAATCCTAGAAAGTAGGTCATTTGTCCTCATTCACAGGAAGAGATACTGAGGCACAGGGAGGTGGTAACATGCCCACAGTCACATGAGGGAATGAATGCGGGGCTGGGGGCAGCCTGGCTCCAGGAACTGAGAGAGGAAAAGAGCTGAAGGGAAGGGAAGGGGCACAGGCAGTGGGCAAGGAGGACCGGGTCTGCTGGGGACGGGGCACATGGGTGGGTTGTAGGGATGACATACCGAGCCCCTATTCACTCAGCATTCTCTGGAGGGGGCGGAGACACCCAGACAGACATGCCAGAGCCTGGGGTAGGCTGTTGCCATAGCAACACCTGGCTCGAGCTCTTTGAGCACCCTGCCCTCCTTGGAGATGGTGAAGGGAGATGCTTCCTCCTGCCTCGTTTCCCTGAATCTGCGGGGAGGCAATGGGTAGCTGCCTCTCCCCACCCCCCATGACTTATTAATGATAATTGGACCCAATTAAACATTTATTAGATTCAGACAGCTGCGGCCTCTGATGGGCCTGCCCCGCCCTTGATGTGCTGTCCCTGGTGGGGGTCCTAAGCTGGAGTCCCTGTGTAGGCTCCCACCTGGGTGCAGGGTGGGGCAGTGGTAGGATCATTGTGTAGGCTCCCACCTGCCCCTTGCCCCTTGCCCCAGTGTGGTGCTCAGGAGGGGCTGCTGCAGAGGCTGTCCCTAATGACTCTGGGTCCATGTGCCTTCATTTGTACACTTTTCTGGCCATCTCCAGGGTCTGTTGTAGAGGGTTAGTGACAAGATGTATGCCAGGCATTAGGTTCCTTTCAGTCTGCGGCATGAACTAAACCTTTAAAAGAGTAAAATGACAAGCACAGTTCCTGTGTTCGGCTTCCCCAAAGTCACTGTGACAAGTTAGACTAAGGCTGGGCAGACATGGGAGGCAGAGAAGGCCAGCAGCCTCAGGGAAAGCCCCCTCAGGAGAGCTGCAGAGGGGTGTAGAACTCGGGCAGGCTGGCTGTGGGAGCTGTGAAGGTGAAGACGGGAAGGGGCCAGAGAAGACTGAGTTTGGGGAGAAGAGAAGAGACAGCAGGCAGGCACTCTTGGAGTGTCCATCTGGAGCAGCTCCCAGAAGGGGTCCCCTACAACTTGAGCTTTATGGGATCAGCTCCAATGCTGATGTGGAGGTGCAGAACTGAGCACTGATTGCTTGTGACTGAGTTGGCCTGGGGGAGCCCATCCTGTCATGTGTCAAGGGGTCCACTGAGGTGGGTTTGGAGTAAAGGCCCAGAGGCTTTTCGGTGGGAGAGGCTTCTCGTCGGTGGGGCTCTGGGGGGAGGGGCAGCAAGCTAAGTGCACAGGCAGTGTTGGGCACACACGTGGCCATGTGTAAGCATGGACGTATGTGGATGTGTCTGGGGGAGCTTTAGTAAAAGAAGGTGTGTGTTGCAAGGTCCTCGGGTGTGTGGATGTTGGAATGGGAACCCTGGCAGCTGGCGAGCTGGCTCTGACCCCCCTTCTTACATCCCACCTTCAGCATGTCGAGGGATGCTGTGTGGCTTCGGTGCTGTATGTGAGCCAAGTGCAGAGGGGCCAGGCCGGGCCTCCTGCGTGTGCAAGAAGAACGCCTGCCCCAATGTGGTAGCCCCTGTGTGCGGCTCAGATGCCTCCACGTACAGCAACGAGTGCGAGCTGCAGCGTGCACAGTGCAGCCAGCAGCGGCGCATCCGCCTGCTTAGCCGTGGGCCCTGCGGTGAGTGCTAGGGCTGGTGGGTGGGGAGACAGGAGGAGCAGCCAGTGTGACCCCACCTTACCCTGCCCACAGGGTCGCGGGACCCCTGCTCCAACGTGACCTGCAGTTTCGGCAGCACCTGTGCACGCTCTGCCGATGGGCAGTCAGCCTCGTGCTTGTGTCCTGCTACCTGCCGGGAGGCCCCTGAGAGCACTGTGTGCGGCAGCGATGGTTCCGACTACCCTAGCGAATGCGAGCTCCTGCGCCACGCCTGCGCCCGCCAGGAGAACATCTTCAAGAAGTTTGATGGCCCCTGTGGTGAGCACTGCCTGGCACGCCCAGCTCAACCTGTGTGTGTGTGTGTTATGTGTGTGTGTGTGTGTGTGTGTGTGTGCATGTGCATGTAGGCATGTAAGAGTGCTCTGATTCTACTCTTCTCACCCCAGACCCCTGCCAGAGTGCTATCACTGACATGAGCCGGGGCTGCCGTGTGAACCCACGCACACGGCGCCTGGAGATCCTCCTGTCACCAGAGAGCTGCCCTTCCCAGAAGGACCCTGTGTGCGGGGACGATGGGGTCACCTATGAAAACGATTGCATTATGGGACGTACAGGGGCCACCCGTGGCCTCCTTCTCCAGAAAGTGCGCTCTGGCCAGTGCCAGCCTCGAGGTGGGCAGCTCCCCAGATTGTCTGGCCCTGTCACTTTGTGACCCAGGAGGACCCCCCCCTTCCCCTGTGCACTGCCTGTCACCACCACTCTCCCAGATCCACACTTACTCCTTTGTGCCATGGGTCCTACACACCTGGTGGGGGGCTAGTTTGGCGCTCTGGCCTCTCAATTCACCCCTGCCCCCCAGACCAGTGTCCGGAGGCGTGCCGGTTCAATGCTGTGTGCCTGTCCCGCCGTGGCCGCCCCCGTTGCTCCTGTGACCGTGTCACATGCGATGGGGCTTACAGGCCTGTGTGTGCCCAGGATGGGCACACATATGACAACGACTGTTGGCGCCAGCAAGCTGAGTGTCGGCAGCAGCGTGCCATTCCTGCCAAGCACCAGGGCCCATGTGGTGAGCACCCTTCGGTGGGATCCAGGCAGGGAGCAGTCCCTGCCTTGTTATCACATGTCATCTTCATTCCTTGTCATGCTCCTTCTGGGATCCTGGGCCAGGGCTGGTCACTCTGAGAAGGCTCTGGGGTGGATGGAGGCTGTGAGGAGGTTTCCTGGGACACTCGGGTACAGGGTGGGGAAGAGGTGGGCTCCCACCTACACCTGGCCCCTGTGAGTTCTCTGGTCTGTCCTCCCCTCTGTCTAGACTGTGCCAGGTGGACAAGGGTGACCATGACATTAGGAGTCGTACACTTGTGGGTTACGTGCAGCCTCTAGATAGCCCCCTCAGAGGCAGATTCTCAGCCACGATTTAAGGGACTGGTGGAAGGCAAGGACGTCTGAGTGGTGACTGGTGTGTCCTGTGTGGACTAGGGCCACTGTGACTCTGCTGTCTCTGTGTCTTTCTTGGCCGGTTGGTCTGTCTGTCTTTCTGGTCTTTTTTTCTGCGTCTGTCTGTCTCTTTTCTTCTGTCCTTCCTTCCCTCTCGGCTCCGCCTCTTGTGTCTTCCAGCCTGACCTGCTGGCAGGATGAGGTGCCGCGCCTGCCCGCCAGGATCCTGCAGCCTGAGGTCTGCCCCTGGTGTGGCGGGGGGGTGGCTCGCTGCTGCCTGGCCGTGTGGTCCTCAGAGCAAGTGGACAGACACCTCCTCCCCTGTGCAGCCCTGGGTGACTCTAGGGGGGCAGACTCCTCCCACCCATGGAGAAAGCCTTACCTGACCATGTACAGGTGCCCCAGGGCTGCTGGTGGTCAGGGGTCAGTGGCCTTGGTATCCCTCCCACAGCCTACTGTGGGACGTCAGGAAGCTCCTGTCCCTTGGGAGCAGCCCCACTCCACATTCTTGCAGGGACTGGGGCCGTTTGAGTCTGTGTCCCTGTCCACATCTGTCGTGTGTCTGTCCCTTTCTCTGCTGTGTCCTGTGCATCTGGCCCTTCTCCCCGTCCACTCTTCCTCCACCATCCCCACCCTGGGAGAGGGACAGCTGCGTGGGGCTAGTGGCTTTGCCCACAGCTAAGCAGAGCATGTCGGCCTGCTGAGTGTTCATGTCCTCCCCAGACCAGGCCCCATCTCCCTGCCGCGGGGTGCAGTGCACCTTGGGGGCGACGTGTGCAGTGAAGAATGGGGAAGCTGTGTGTGAGTGCCAGCAGGTATGCACCGGTGTCTACGATCCTGTGTGTGGCAGCGACGGGGTCACATATGGCAGCGTGTGCGAGCTGGAGGCCACAGCCTGCACCCTTGGGCGGGAGATCCGAGTGGCACGCAGAGGACCCTGTGGTCAGTGGTGGGCAAGTGGGTCTGGCGGGGGGTGGGGTGGGGCTCCTGGTTGCTGTGGTGACAGAGGCTCCTCCCCAGACCGCTGTGGGCAATGCCGCTTTGGAGCCCTGTGCGAAGCTGAAACCGGGCGCTGTGTGTGTCCCTCTGAATGTGTGGCCTCAGCCCAACCTGTGTGTGGTTCCGATGGCCACACATATGCCAGTGAGTGCGAACTGCACGTCCACGCCTGCACACACCAGATCAGCCTGCACGTGGCTTCAGTTGGACACTGCCGTGAGTGATTCCATAGGGGCCAAGGGGGGTGGGGCCCCCTGTCTCCCCCAGGCGGAGTCTGCAACCCCTGCCTGGCTCTGTCTTCTACAGAGACCTGTGGAGACACAGTGTGTGCCTTTGGGGCTGTATGTTCAGCGGGGCAGTGTGTGTGTCCGCGGTGTGAGCATCCCCCACCCGGCCCCGTGTGTGGTAGTGATGGTGTCACCTACCGCAGTACATGTGAGCTACAGGAAGCTGCCTGCCAGCAGCAGATGCAAATCGAGGAGGTCCGGGCAGGACCATGTGAGCAAGGTAGGTTCGGGGGCAGTTAGGGTGAGCTGCTGGGCCCTAGCCTTGGACAAGGTCCCTGTGGGACTTGGCCCCCTCTTTCCCACAGCTGAGTGTGGCTCGGGAGGCTCTGGCTCTGGGGAGGATGGCGAATGTGAACAGGAGCTGTGCCGGCTGCATGGTGGGGTCTGGGATGAGGACTCAGAGGATGGGCCATGCGTCTGTGACTTCAGCTGCCAGAGTGTTCTGAGGAGCCCGGTGAGACCCTCTCCCTCCCCCGGCTCAAGGTGGGAAGTAAGGACGGGGATGAGGCCACCCACACTGACACCAGCTTTCTAGGTGTGCGGTTCAGATGGACTCACTTACAGCACTGAGTGTGACCTGAAGAAGGCCAGGTGTGAGTCCCAGCAAGAACTGTATGTGGTGGCTCAGGGAGCCTGCCGAGGTGAGTGGGCACCTCACAGGGTGTTTGGACCCATGGGGGCACACACGTTCTTATGTATACATGTTGCAGCCTCTGTGTTCATCTGTGTGCATGTTTAAAGATGTGTGCCCACAGGTGTGAGAAATGTGGGCATGCATGTGTTCTGTGGTGGGTCTTTGTGGGCGTGTGTATTGTGTTTGAAGTGTGCAGTGTTGGTGTGTGCTCATATATATATATATATATACACATACACACATATATATTTTATTTGGAGAGGTTTTTGCTATAGGGCACATGCACTCACCAGAAAGACAGAGATAGACAGAAAGCAAGAAATCATCCCCGGGGGGATGGCCACGCTGTAGTCCCTTCTCCATTCTCCTCACGGGATCTTGGGCACACGTGCACACACGCCCAGCATGAGTTTAAGCCTCTGGGTCCGGGACTCGAATTGTGATTGACTACATGGGAGTCTAGCGACGTAGCCATTACGCCATTTGCTTTGCTTAAGTTTTTACTGTCATAGTGTGAGTCCTTCTGCCCATTAGCCAATAAGTGCACACCAGGCACCTACTGTATGCTGGGCTGGGCTTTAATGCCGAGAGACATCAGAGGCCATGCAAGCTCCCCTTACCCTGCTGCCCCCCACCCTAAGTGCTCTCTTTTTAGGGGTACTGACAGTGATCTAGTAACTATGTTACGTTTATCATAAGCTTATGCACACACAAGTCATGTGTGCACTTACCCAAGTACACAGACATATTTCTGCAAGGGTATGTGTGTAAATGTCTGCAGTTAGGGAAGAACATAAATAAATATGAATGTACACATCTCCATGTGTGTGTGTGCTGGTTTGCAAAGACATGTCCACGTACATATGGCTCTGGTTGTATGAGCATGGGATTGTGCGTCCATGATCTTTGGGTGTTCTGTGCATTCTTGGCTCTGCACTCTCAGACATGTCCTCATATGTGATGTGGTAGCCTCACATGTGACCTCAGGCCCAAGGTGGGGGTTGGTATTAGGAGGCTCAGTGGTGATGGGGCTTAGTTGGGGGAGGTTGAGATCCAGGGTGGCATCTAGCACCACATGAAATCTCAACACTGTGCCTTTCCCTGTAGGACCGACTTTGGCCCCACTGCCACCCGTGACCCCCTTGCACTGTGCCCAGACGCCCTATGGCTGCTGCCAGGACAACATCACTGCTGCCCAGGGTGTGGGCCTGGCCGGCTGTCCCAGTGAGTGCCTGAGCTCAGCCCTGACCCCCTGGTCTGGCCGAGTTGTGCAGCTGTGGTAACCCTGTTCTGCCCTGGCTTTGCAGGTATGTGCCATTGCAACCCACACGGCTCCTATGGCAGCACGTGTGACCCGGCCTCAGGCCAATGCTCCTGCCGCCCAGGTGTGGGGGGCCTCAAATGTGACCGCTGTGAGCCTGGCTTCTGGAACTTCCGTGGCATTGTCACAGATGGCCGGAGCGGCTGCACCCGTGAGTGGCAGGGCCCAGGGCTGGCTGCCAGTCAAGTACTCCATGCCATCCACTTCCATCACTATGTCCTTCCTGTCACCTGCTCAGGCCCTGGGCTGACTAAACGTGGCAGGGTCTGGGCAGTTCTGGCATGGGGGAGGGGTGCTGGGCTTAGATCAGGCAGAGAAGCCTGTCTAGGGCAGGTGTCAGGTCCTTCCCTGTCCCCCAGCTTGCAGCTGTGACCCCCGGGGCGCTGTGCGGGATGACTGCGAGCAGATGACTGGGCTGTGCTCCTGCAAGCCAGGGGTGGCTGGTCCCAAATGTGGGCAGTGTCCAGATGGCCGTGCCCTGGGCCCCTCTGGCTGTGAAGCAGGTAAGAAGCCAGGGTTGATGCCTACCCAGGGCTCCCTAGTTAGGCAATGGGGCCACCTAAGCTGGGAGGTCTCCATGTGTCTCCCAGGCTCCTCGGTGCCTAAGACCTGTGCTGAGATGCTCTGTGAGTTTGGCGCATCCTGTGTGGAGGAAGCTGGCTCTGCCCACTGTGTCTGCCCAACTCTCACATGTCCGGAGGCCAATGCTACCAAGGTGAGGAGTGAGGAATGTGGAGGGAGGTGGGAGAGGAAGGCCTCGCCCAAGCATCCTGGCCCTGTGCCGCAGGTCTGTGGGTCCGACGGAGTCACCTACGGCAACAAGTGCCAGCTGAAGACCATCGCCTGTCGCCAGGGCCTGGACATCTCTATCCAGAGCCTTGGCCCGTGCCAGGGTGAGGCCTAAAGACCATTGCCTAGAATTAACCAGAAAGGCCTGACTCTACCCTATATCCCCCCGCCCTGTCCTGAGCCAGCTGACCCCAACCCCACACAACTGGCCTCCACCCCCAACCTCCCTCTCCTTGCAGAGGCTGTTGCTCCTGGTGCCCACCCAACGTACACATCTGTGACCATCCCAGAGCTCTTCCCGAGCGAGGCACTGCCAGCTCCTCCCAGCGCCCTGCCCCTGGCTCCTGGCACTACTCCTCGCAGCCAATCCACTCCCTCACCTTCACCACGGCTTTGGACCACTGCCAGCATCCCCAAGACCACTGCACGGCCCGTGCTGACCATGCCCCCCACGACACCCCCCACTGCAGCCAGCCTTGCCACATCTGCCTTTGGTGAATCTGGCAGCGCAGATGGGAGCGGCGACGAGGAGCTGAGTGGGGACCAAGAGGCCAGTGGGGGAGGCTCTGGGGGTGAGCAGGGGCTCAGGGACATGGGAGCAGGTCTGGGGGGTGGTTTTGGGGGATAGGGTCTGTCTGGAGCCAGGCTCAGACTGTGCTTCCCCAGGACTCGAGCCCCCTGAGGGTAGCATTGTGGTGACCCCTGGGCCACCCATCGAGAGAGCTTCCTGCTACAACTCGCCTTTGGGCTGCTGCTCGGATGGCAAGACACCCTCAGTGGATACAGAGGGCTCCAACTGTCCTGGTGAGTGGGCGGCCGGGGGCAGGGGCCAGCCTGAGGAG